GGGGGGGGTCTGGGGTATGGAGGATGGCAAGCTTGTAAAGGGCATGAGAACGTTTTTTTTCATAGACTGGATGGCTAACTTTAAATGGCAATTTTTTTTTTCAAATTTCACTTTAATTGCTAAAGTAGAAAAAAAAATAAATGTCACTAAATCACGTGGATAAATTAAGGGAAAAGTGTCATTAGCACAAACAACAGACGAATCGGGGGTGTGCGGGGGTTGTCTCGTGTTCTTATGTTGTTGTGAAAACTGATATCAAACTTCCCTTCAACGCTATGCCGTCCTTTTTCCATGTGGTAAAGAAAAGAGTGTCGCATATTCTTTGCTTCCACTTCAAGGTCAAGGTTATGAAGTGTGCATGCACCACGTTTAACTCAAACCACAGAAGAACTTTTTAGCGCGTGCAATGGAACAACAATCCTGAATTTAAATCATGGACAGTGACAGGAGCCCATTACTCGCGATTAAAATTTCGACAGGCAAAAATCCTGCAATGACGTCATCGGTGCATGTGATTTTGTTGTCGTGGTTCTCGTGATGTGGCGACAGCTTTTTATCACATGATATTATACATTCAGAAATCGAGAGATAAAGATTCTCGGCCGAATTTTGTCTTCTGATGGGAAGTGTTTGCATAAAATGGTAATCTTGTACCCAGATCCAACTGGTATTTTTTTAATGCATATTTAGGGAGGTCTGAGTACGAGAGCAGGAAAGCACTTCGTCTAAAATTTCTCTACTGACCAAACTAATATTTTGTTGTTAGGTACAAATCCTCGTCAATCTTCTCCATCCTTCACAATCCTTCTTCTGTCCGTTTTTATCTCATTTGAGTTTTTCTTACTTACCAATCTAAAATTTGTATTTTCCATACATTTTTAGGTTGTTTTTTTTTTCACGAAACAAATAAAAAACTTAAAATAAAATAAAGTAGTTGCCATAAATTACCCTTTTTCTTTTATTATTCCCGTATATTACAAATAAAAATATCAGACAGGAGAGAGGAACGGAAATGCTTTGCCCTTGTGGTTATATAACTATGATTGAAATGTTTACTTGGCAAAAAGTGTATTTCTCTTCGAGTCAATGCTGATATCAGAACAGCGGGAATGAATGACCACTGACCTTTCAAATCTCCGTTACAATTCGGCAATTGTCGTAAAACAATAAACATGCCCCGAAGCCACGAAGTCGGCGTTTAGTATTTTGCGGTTATAAATCCTTTCAATCAGTGATCATCTTTTCAAAATATCACATCTGTTGGCTTTTAGCAGCTAATATCAATCACTTTATTTTTCATTTTCCAAGAAGGTAAGTGTTAACATACTGGCGAGAGGTATTTTTTGTGTACAATTCGCCAATTAAGCTTTTTCTTTTACAAATCATTTGGTTTCAGCGAATTTGAGGGAAAGAATTGGATGCACGATCGTGCACTGTATTTAGGAGAACTGTTTGCGATTTACAAATATCTACACTCACTTTGCGCTGAATGTGTCGCATATGTTTGAATATTATTCTTCATTTCGTAAAATTACCAATTAATACCAAAATACCTGTATTCCAGACACTGCCGAACGAATTGATGTCAATAGATTTTCGTCCGTTTCATTTTCGTACCTTTGATGTTTTGAAAATCTGTTCACTGGAAGGTATGTCATATCAAAGGTAATAAAGATTTTCAATTTTGTATTGCTGACAAATATGATCAAGAATGAGTTGAATGAAAGTTTCGATTGCCTTTGTTCATGGCAGGTCGTTCGAAAACCACCTATATGCAAATTTATTTCGCTTTTCGAATTTTGTGACTCGTGCTTCAGTTTTCAGATATTCATGTTGTTATTCCTTCAAGCCACCGCACGGTATTTCCTGGTGAGTTTTTTTTTTCTTTTTTTTAAACCAAAGTTGTACCACCAAGATCTTTGTTTCTCTTCACAGTAGGTTAAGAAAATGCTGCATTTAAATTCTTCGGAAAAGGTTAAATTTTCACTGCTTCCATTCATCTATGCCATTGTATTTGTTTTGACTTTATTCAAAAGATCTACGTGCCGACGCAAACTTGACTGATAATTCAGTTACATTGTATACTGACATGTTTAGTCTATAAGATCTGTGTTTCTAATAACATGATAACTTATACGGTGCAGTACAGTTAAGATATGTTCTTTTACAAGAACGCGGAAACACACTTAGTGGTTTTTCTTTATGGCGCAAAATGGTTTCTAGCGATGCCCGTGTACTCGAATCTTTGATCATATAATTCTCGTATTCTTGATCGAGAACTTTCTTTTACAAACTTTGTGAGAGCCTTTTGTCGTTCCAGAGGTTAGGGTATAAGCGTAACAAATATCACAGCAGGATAAACGAAAACATCAACACATTTTCCTCTTTTGTTTCGGTTCAAAATATCATATTTAAGGTATCATATGAAAGCAACATAATGTGAGTTTATTTTTTTTGGAGCAAGACTGCAGTGGCTTTTATGTTTCGTGTTACTGCTCCGGAAAAAAGCCATGTCGCCGAAACAAAACTTTTCGCTGGTAATAAACGTAGTCCAGAATGATCTTAAGTTTAAATCCCGTTGTGATATAGCACTGAGATTTGCTGCGAAACCGAGATTAAGTTTGTGGTAGCTGTGTTTCAAATTTCATTGCTTTTTAAGTACAACTTTAAAGGAGTGGCGTCACGGTAACATAAACAAGACATCTCAAGACACAATTACACATATCTACGAAAAGTTCAAGAATGCAGATGACAAAATGTGCCAGAGTTTACGAGTCTTCGACGCCCCGTAGATCCAACAGAAAATATAAAATATCTGTTAACAACCAAGATGCTATGTTTCCACGTTATTGAATTAATTAACCGTTGACATAAAGGCACCTGTTTCTGTTTCTCTCCGCACAAACTTGGTTCTAAATTTCTCAATGATTTATCTTTGGTACAAAGCACTTCTAAATTCTTTCGATTTCATTTCAACAGGTCCGAATGTGTTGATCGGTAACTAGGATTAAAATTCGATAAGGCCGAGAAACATTGCTACATAATGAGTTAAGAATTATTCAAACAGCACGTAACACCTCATCTGCTACGTACCATGAGCTAAGCAAACAAAACGCTCCCTTCCTCTCTCCCCACACCTGCTGTATTTGAGAGTCATCCCTGCCGGGTGATTGAAGTCTATGCTTCGTGACATGTTCAAATATCTGTGAAGCGCTTACATTCTTTGGGTAAAAATACGTTAATGCCTAAATTTCGCAGATGCAAAAAAATAGAGCTGGGAAAGATGTAAGTGATGGCAGTTTCCAAAAAAAACTGTCTTTTTTTCCTTTTCTAGAGAACAAAAAATTAACATTTACAACATCGATGCAAACCTTCGCCGAAACGTTTGTTGAAGTGTCGATTTGGCAAATTTTTCACAGAATGAGGCCCGCTGGCTTAGTGGTTCAAATTTGGCTGGCTTTTCACGCATTGCTGTTTTACTACTGGGATTCTTAAAGGGAGACATTATGATTGTGCGGTTACTCCGTATGGGGAGGATTGGGCTCGAACCATTCTGGGGTCATTGTGTTGTGTTTGTATAGAGGACACAACTCTCACAGTGTCTCTCTCTCTCCACCCATGAGTGTAAATTGATATCAGCAAACGTTAAGAGAAACTTTAAGAATTTTAATGGGGGGGGGGAGGGGGGTGCTTGTTAGGAATTAGCCTTGCGTTTCTTCGTGCGGTCGAAACTTAGAAAAGTTCCAACAGACATTCGAGTATGTCTCATAAACAGACGTTGAGACGTATTTTTCTTTTTTCCTTCTATAGACCAGCGTTAATCAATGGAAACAAAAAAGAACAGACCACCAAACCTCTCATTAAAACCAGAAAAAGACGGAAAGACGGACGAAAGTTCAGGATCACCAGATTGCAACGCCAATATTCAATCGTTAAAGGAAATGGATAAACTCGGAAATCTCAAAGTACCAGTAAGCCCTTTATCCAAGAGATGGTTCAGGAAGCAATTTGGTATACGCAAAGATGGAGCACGACTTCAAGATGATGGGGCGAAACTGCAAGCACCAATAAATAATGCAACGTTCCAGAAAAGTCGTCGTCGGTCAAGCTCGCTACCAGACCTCGCCGCGATGTTAGATGCTGCAAGTTTGAAGAGGCATGCGTCGCTAAGAACGCGGTCACCTGGTCCCACAAGGATGGTGCCATTCAGAAAGGAGCCTATTCTTACTAAGTAATAAACTGTAGGATTGAATAATTTTTCATCTATTAAGATGCTCTTATTCTTTTAGATGCTCTTAAAAATAATCTTGGAAAATTTTGGAAACTGGACGTACCATAAATTTAATTTTTTCTGCTTTACTCGCAAATCCTAAGCAGAACGATTGCTCATGCTAGATCATCTGTCTCCGTTCTAAAATTCACGAGCGACACGGTTGGTCAGTTCAAATCACCTGAGAGTGCCTTAAATATTAGGTGCGACAAGATTGGTCGATTAAAATTTCTTGCCTTTACCTTACCGGGAGCCCTCCTAACCTTACATACCACGAGCGACAGGAGTGGTTGATCACATTTAGGCGACCACTCCTCAAATGTTACGAAAGACATGATTGGTTACATCAGCTAACCTGACTGCGCCTTAGATATTACTAACCCTGAGAAATTTGAATAATTTTGCTTGTGTGTGTGTTTAAATATTACGAATGACTCAGTTGGTCAATTCAAATTACTTGCCTGTGCTCAAATACTACATTTGACATGATTGCTTAAACATGATAGAGTGCAAAGTATGTTACCAGTTGAAGGGATTAAACACACGGACGTTTTTTAAAAGGTAATCGTAAATCTATATCTTACAGTAAAAATTTGTGATTACGCAAGGAATTTTGAAATTCAATACACCTGTTTTGAATATCATTACCAAGACTTAAAATTTCAATCTTTAATCCAAATGTGAGACGTACAAGAAGTAATACTGTCAGTCATTAAAACGTTTGGTACAAATTTTTATTATAATAAAGCTCGGATATAACGCGCGCTGTCATTGGTTGAAAGAGTGTTCTCTATGAGAGTACAGAGCATAGAGCTGAGCTAAAGCTGTCACGCCACCTGCCAAATTGTACTATGTTCGACCTTTTCCGAGACTTCTTTCTAGCTTTTTTTCGATAATTGAAAGTGAAATTTCGGAACAAGCGAGCCGGCAAGTAGCAACAGGAGAACCAAACAAAGGTTTGTAAACATACCAGGCGTCTCGTGTTTCTTTCGTGCTCTAGCCGCTTCCTGCGTGCTTTATAACAGAACAGAGCATAGTCATGGCTTCTCTATTTGTTAAACAGAACGCAATTTTTCTACTTTGTATTTTAAATATGTTTCAATCTAACAATTTTGTAATCTTGACACATTTAATGCTTAAAGACGTTTACTCTTACGTGATGTTCGTGATTTTACTTATCTCTGCATGAATAAACTCAACAGGACTAAAATATGTTCTTACGAACGCGTTTTCGGTCATATCCACATGATGTAAATAATTAAGACTACCTCTCATCGAATTAACCAAAATTAGTGTGAGATGCGTTGACTTAGTGCTCACCTTTTTTAGAATTTTGGTCTATATGGAAGTCCGATCACTAGTTATTGTTTGCTTTGTGTTTGAGGCAAGCCAATCAACACACTTAGAGCCTCTTTTCACCCAAGATTTGAACAAGCTAGCGAACTATAAGGAAAATCCTGAGAAAATGCGTTGGGAGGATGGTCACTGGCGATAGACTGGCACCTCATCCAGAGGATATATAAATACTCCTAGTCGCTTTTATATGCTACAGAAGCTGGGATAAGCTCAGGCAGAAGGAGCCTTTTGGATAAATAAATAAATAAATAAATGGGATTTAGTATGGACATTCCACGAGCTGGATCCTCTTGTCCACTCTTTCCAGGTCGATTTGGAATTAGATCTCTTTTGGACCTGATGCTGTTTTGCACAGTCATACATTTATGTTCCACGCTCATATGCTTGAAGTAGCGAGACTTCCTTACTCCAAATTTAATACATTCTTGCAAGAATTATGTCGTCGTCATATATCGTGTTCGATTCCTTGGAATCGGCCCGTTTTCTTTTCATCCCAAGTTGGAGTAGTCGTATTTGTCTTTCGCGCAGTCGATGATATGTTTGAGAAAAACTATGATGAAATATTTCCAATGATTCAGAGATGTCCTGCTTCATGATTTTACATCTGCAGGTTCCTGAAATAAGTGATATTGTTGAGAAGGTTGATGGTCTAACCAGTCTGTCAGTCAGTTTATGGATCGCTCAGCTTGCCAGTCAGCGAGTCAATAAGTCAGTTATTCAGTCAGTCTATCAGCCAGTCAGTCGTTCATAATTTGCCAAGTCAATATACCGGTAATTCAGTTTGTCACATGGTATAACGTTAGGTGCGTTAGTTACATTATCATAATTCACGAATTCTATAGTCTGTCTGTCTGTCTCTCCGTCTGTAGGAACGATCGTCCCAACTCCTCTATCCCATCAGTCATTTCCCTGTCGATTGGTCTATCGAACACCGAAGATACTGCTGACTTACTTTGAAAAAAGACATACCTTTGCTTTTTCTTTTACAGCATGACCTATAACAAAAGGCCTGGTAAAACAAACCACACGTAACAGCGAGTAATAGGAGTCCAACACTGACCACCATCGTGTTCAGGAAGTAAGGACTGCTGGGTTCAAAGAACACGACTGATGTAGACTCAGTCTAGAAAATGAAATAAAGAGGAGTGTCAACAATGTGATCATGTAGGGTTTGGTTTTACAATGATCACTTTCATTCACGTCTTTATCCGCAGTTCAAATATATGACTTTCATATATTCTTAACCGTTTATTTCATCACTTCACGGGTTTATTTAGAACCAACATCATGACCAGCTCCCAGTTGGCTTGTTAGCTCAGTTGGTAGAGCGCTGCACCGGTATCGCAGAGGTCATGGATTCAAATCCCGTACAGGCCTGAATTTTTTTCAGGCCTTATTTTCACTACTGCCTAAGTAGTGCACATTACTGCGAGGGTCACTTTCATTCACTTCACTAAATTACACTGTTATACTCTCCCAACGACGCAGCACCACAATTTCTTTGGAAACTTACCCCCTTTATTCATGATTGCTTTGGTTTTCCCATACTTATGTCGCTCTGTGATTGGTCCGCGCCACCCTCTCAACCAATCAAACTCAAGCCTAAAGCCAATCTTGATTGGTACACTCGTATTTTTCCGCGTTTCATGCAGTCTGCCTATTTTTAATCAGAGTTCTGATTGGCTAATGATGGTGTCAGCCTTCGCTTAGGTTGACTGTTCTGATTACTTGTGGTTTTGTTTTTTTTCGAAACTCAAATGAAAACTGTTCCACTTACGATTATTACCTCTTCCTCTTCAGATTGCTCTGTAGCCTCGTCATCCTGTTTTAAGAATTCTGCCTCTACGTTGTTCACTTCCATCACATTTTTCAATTGTTTTGCAAGACTGACTCCTTCACCTTGTAGAAGAATACCATGCGCTATTTCACCCTCTAGAAAGTCCGAGACATGAAACCAGGAGCCGTTAAAGAGATCTTTTCTCTTGACTGGAACGTACATATCAAGTAACATTGAACTTATGTTGCCATTTCTCAAAGCTTCAACCATGGAGTTTAAATCTGGGAAAGTAGATCCTGCAAGAATAAAATTTTAGTCATGTAGTTTGTGATTTAAACGGTCGATTATCTGGGTCATGAAGTCTGTTACTCACCGATGGCTAGCTTGTTGGGAAATTTTTTAACGGCCACTTGATGTGAGGACGAGTTGGCAACTACTGCAACCTGAGGTAGAAACATTTTCACATCATCTGACAGTTACTTGTTGTACTATGAAGCGTAAGGCTAGTCTTAAATTAACCATTTTTAAACATGTCACGCAATTCTCCGATCAAAACTGACTAGAAACGTGACATGTCAAGTCTCCTAACTATAAGACCTTTACAACATCATATCAGTATGCATATTTCTTAACGAGAATTTGTTTAACAATCAAGAGCTTCTTTAGTTAATACTCTTGACCTTAATGTTTAAATTACGGATGAAAGTGTTAATGACAGAACATCAATTACCTTGCCATCACCAGACGAGCTCAGACTATTTGCATCCGTGCGAATCCTAACCACTGTCACAGTTAGCAATGATGTCAAAGTTCCGAGGAACAGAGCAAAAATTACAAGTCCGACTAGAAACCAGACTATCGCGAATAACTTGGCTGGGACGGACTGAGGACAGCGGTCACCATATCTGTTCAAAGAAGGTTAAGTAATAGATGACCAGAACGAACAAGAAAAGAAATAATTTGTAAGTGGTAAGACTAGATTGTGCCTCATGAGCCTCAAGCAAGTGGTTCAATAATGTTGTCACCATGTTTTGAGTTCTTATGTGATCTGAATGAAGGGTACAAGGCGTGATGGAATCAATTGAACAGAAAAGAAACCTAAAAAAATCGCAAAATTTCTACTTTTATAGATCATACGCAACGAACCATCTTAATTTGCAGAGTAATCTGTTTATAGTTAAAATCATTAATTATTATCTTCCGTAAACTCTGCATTGTGCGTGATGTTGTGATCGAGAAGAAGACAACTTCTAAGCAAACTCACCCAACAGTTGACATGGTGATAAAAGACCACCAGAAGCCAGCACCAGCTCCCTTAAAAAACGTCCTCGGGAAATGCTCCGGGTTTGCTTTCGAGTCCTAAATGGTAGGAGACGCGTAAATCCATATGAGAGTACAAAATTTCAATTACTGAAGCTACATTTAATGGGATTTTGGGTCAGCTCTATTTAAGGGGCGTTTAGGAGAAGTGTTTAGTTCAGTAAACCCCAATCTGGTGTCAAGCCCTGGAAGGGTCGTTGTTTTGTGTAACCGGGCGCAACTCTTAACTGACACACTGTCTTCATTTAGAAGTAGAAATGGGTACCGTAAAACTGCCAGAGACGCTATTCTGCAAGGTAATTATAGTGTTTGCGTGACATCCGGGAGTTATGCAACGCGGGAACTTGGGTCATGTGACCCAGAGAACAAGTGTGCGGTTGTGTAATCAAGTGTCCAAAGCGATTTGGTGTTGCTTAAGTTCGGGCCTCGGGGGATGTTTAGAAATATTACAGTAATAGAGAAGGGAAGGGGGATAGGGGTATGCATAAGATGGTGCTGCAACCTTTTAGCGGAGACCAACAAAATACCTAAACCTCTCGAAAAATCAGGAAAGCATCACCACGATGGGGCATCTGGTTCCTCGCCTTACCTTTATGAATTAAACAGTGAGACTGAAGAATCTTACCAAAATCCAAATGATTATCCCTGCTAAAAGAGACGTCAGCAAAGCCAATACGCAAACAGGCCAAGACTCAAAGATAGAGTTTGTTAGAAGTTTTGTAAGTGTAGGAATGGGAGAGTTTCTTCTTTTAACAACAACAAACCCAGGTACAGATATCACTGGAACAAACTTGCTATAGGCCGTGTCACCAATAGCCTGGGTCCTTGTCACTGGAAAGGAAATTTGGCCTTCCCGTGTGATGTTAGAAGATGTCAAATAGTTTTGCCTGTACGCATCGCATCTGCCACACGTGCTGTTTACCAGATCACGGATGACTCGACTGAGAGAGACCGTTCCTAATGTGTCTAAGGAGTTTGGAACAATGGAGATACTCAAGTTCTCGTTGCATCGACAAGTCTCTGTAAAGACAGGAAATTTTTCAGAATTGCAGTGAATAATATTGAAGGTAATAAAAGAAAGAAGATGAAAGAAGATGATATAATATAATTCTTGTCCTAGAACCGATCCAAAATGGAGGAGATGATTCAATGTGTTAGATATCAGCCTTCTCATAAGACGTTATGTATAGTCCACTGTACAACCACTGAAAAGTGTTGAGCAAGAGGAATCATGGGTAAAAGAAAGAATAACGCATGCGCTTTGTGCATTTTTTTTTCACGTTCCAATCCTTTGGTACGGGCCAACTTTTTTTCTTAGCAAAAGACCTTTCAGCAAATAAGAAATATATTTTTACAAATACCTGCGTATAAGGGCTCGCTTAACTTTCCCGTGCCCTTGGATGTTATCAAGGCCACCTCAATCTTATACGTGGTGTAAATCGTTAGGTCAGTGAGAATCACTGTCGTAGCACTAGCACAGACAGTCATCGTATGATTTGGCTCTGAAAGTAAGTCAGGAACTGGTTCACCTCCTCTTCTGACAGCATGATAATTGATGTAAAAACCTTCCAATAGTCCATTTGTTTGTTTTTCTGTGTCGTTCTGCAGGTTAAGTTGAATCGAAGATGAACTCATTATCTTTGTAGTATAAGTCCAAACTGGGATTTTTCTCTTACCTCTCCATGAACCTGCAAGGATACGGAGAGATGAAAGGGGATAAGCAACATTATCTAAAATTTTAGTGAAGAGAGGAAATTCCCCATTTGGTCCCAGCTCTAAATGCAACTTCTAACATGTTATTGAAAGAATCAAGTATTTCAGTTTCCCAGCCGGAATAATTCTGTACGTATCGCGCAAATTGGCTTAGTATTTATTAGAGGAGAATTATAGAGAGGATATACTTTGTCCATCTATGAAAAGAGTCGACATATTGCATACGATTAACTATTAACAGTAACGAATGTGATCATCATTGATACAAGGAGATGTTTTGCACATTGCTTCGTTGTCTTGACCCCGCATGGTCTTCAGCAGTGCCTACTTTTGCGGTACAATTAGCCCATAAAACTACTCACCAGTTGCACAATCACTTAAAATGCCAGATCCATCCATGCTTAATGCAGCCATTTGGATGCATGTGTCGTCGGAGAAGCTAACATTCTTTAGCAGAAGAGACGAGGCACATGGAGCTACAAACTTGATGGCGCCACTATCAGAACCGCTCATAAATATTGCGTATCCTACAATCGGGACCTCCTCTTCTCTTTCCGGTACTAAGTGCCAAGATAAATTGACAGTGCTACCATCGGAGATGAAGAAGGAGAGATTGGAAGGAGCCAGTGATGGTACTGCAAGTTGAGAACGTTGTAAATCAACGTTACATTAAAAAAAGCTCATCGTCATAAATAACACGATTACCATTTGTCTTTTAGTACCTGATCATAACTGGATTAAGATTATTGCGCGTTTTACGGAATCCCTCACATTAAAAAGAAAAATGGATAGATAGTCCAGTCTTAGTTAACACAATTACTTTTCTGACTCTCCTCTCAAAAGGAACAAGAGAAGTGGAAAATCTGCTACCATTGCAGTATAGTTTTACTTACCACCCATATTAGTCAAAACGTACAGACAGTCACTCATTTTCCCATCGCCATTTTTCGTGAAAGCCAAAGCTTGCACACAATAATTAGTGAACCTCATCAAACCATATCCTTCGAGTGCAGAGATATTGAAATGTACGGTAAAGTTATGTTTTGCGTTAGGCTTAGCTGCGGCAGCAAACATAACTCTGTACCCCAGTACCACGCCGTTCTCATAACCCTGAGGGACTGGTTTCCAGCTCACTGTGATTGAAGTAGGAGATGAAACGTTTGCTGTTATTCCTGCAGGTGGTAGGTCGGGTACTGTAATAATAATGCTTTTTTAATTAACATGAGTACGCATTGTGTAATTATTATCATTTATTATCATTCATTGTTTTCTTTTAGTAACTGTGTCGCGGTTACGAATTCAGCCTGAGTCCCCTCATTTTCACAGTACTGACATATAGAAGATTTTGCAGTTAGCATTATTCTAAAGAGCTTTGTTCTTTATAAACGTGGTCTTCCTCCTTGTTCCTATTCCTGTACTACTCCGGATCCATAATTCCCACTTTTTAAAGTTGCAGGTATCTTCTGTCTGTCAGTGTTGAATACTGTTTCTATCTCTCCACAAGTCAGTTATGGTGTCAGGAGTGGGATCATGACTGGGTTAAGGTCATTGCTCGTGTTATGGTATCCCGCTCATTCAAAAGAAAAATAGATACATAGTCTCAGCTTACTTAACACAATTCACTCCTGCCCAAGTTTTGTTCCTCACTGCGAAGATCGCTTTTACATTCACATTTTTATCGGCAGCTCACATATATGATTTTCATATATTCACAGTCACTTACAATGACTTTTCTGACATCCTCTAAAGGAAATGAAACAAGCAGAGAATCTGCTACCGATACAATATAGTTTTTACTTACCACCCATATCAGTCAAAGCGTACAGACAGTCACTCATTTTTCCATAGCCCTTTTTCGTGAAAGCCAAAACTTGCACACAATAATTAGTGAACTTCATCAAACCATTTATTTCGAAAGCAGAGAAGTTGAAATGCACGGTAAAGTTATGATTTACTTGAGGCTCAACTGCAGCAGCAAACAGAACTCTGTAACCCAGTACCACTCCGTTCTCGTGGCCCTGAGGGACTGGTTTCCAGCTTACTGTGATTGAGGTAGACGATGAAACGTTTGCTGTTATTCCTGCTGGTGGTAGGTCGGGTACTGTAATGATAATGCGGTTTTAATCAACATGAGTACATATTACGTATTTAGAATCATAAATTATCATTTATTGTCTTCTTTTAGTGACTGTGTCACGGTTACTAATTCAGCCTGAGTCCCTTCACTTTCACAGTACTGACATGTAGAAGATTTGCAGTTAGCATTATTCTAAAGAGCTTTGTTCGTTATAAACGTGGTCTTCCTCCTTGATCCCCTTCCTGTATTACTCCGGACCCATAATTCCCATTTTTTAAGAGCTTTGTTCGTTATAAACGTGGTATTCCTCCTTGTTCTCTTCATGTATTACTTCGGATCCATAATTCCCACTTTTTAAACTTGCAGGTATCTTCTGTCTGTCAGTGTTGAATGCTGTTTCTATCTCTCCACAAGTCAGTTCTGGTGTCAGGAGTGGGATCATAACTGGGTTAAGGTCATTGCTCGTTTTATGTTATCCCGTTCATTAAAAAGAAATATAGATACAGAGTCTCAGCTTACTTAACACAATTCACTTCTGCCCAAGTTTTGTTCATCATTGTGAAGATCCCTTTTACATTTACGTTTTTATCGGCAGCTCACATATATGAATTTCATATAATCAGAGTCATTTAAAATGACTTTGTGACATCCTTTTCGAAAGGAAACGAAACAAGCGGAAAATCTGCTACCAATACAATATAGTTTTTACTTACCATCCATATCAGTCAAAGCGTACAGACAGTCACTCATTTTTCCATCGCCCTTTTTCGTGAAAGCCAAAACTTGCACACAATAATTAGTGAACTTCATCAAACCATTTATTTCGAAAGCAGAGAAGTTGAAAGGTACGGTAAAGTTATGCTTTGCTTGAGGCTCAGCTGCGGCAGCAAACAGAACTCTGTAACCCAGTACCACTCCGTTCGCGTAGTCCTGAGGGACTGGTTTCCAGCTTACTGCGATTGAGGTAGAAGATGAAACGTTTGCTGTTATTCCTGCAGGTGGTAGGTCGGGTACTGTAACAATAATGCGGTTTTAATCAACATGAGTACATATTACGTATTTAGAATCATAAATTATCATTTATTGTCTTCATTTAGTCACTGTGTCACGGTTACTAATTCAGCCCGAATCCCTTTACTTTCACAGTTCTAACACGTAGAAAATTTTGCAGTTAGCATTATTCTAAAGAGCTTTGTTCGTTATAAAGGTGGTCTTCCTCCTTGATCCCCTTCCTGTATTACTCCGGACCCATAATTCCCATTTTTTAAACTTGTTGAATGCTGTTTCTATCTCTCCACAAGTCAGTTCTGGTGTCAGGAGTGGGATCATAACTGGGTTAAGGTTATTGCTCGTTTTATGGTATCCCACTCACTCAAAAGAAAATAGACACATAGTCTCAGCTTACTTAACACAATTCACTTCTGCCCAAGTTTTGTTGATCATTGCGAAGATCACTTTTACATTCACGTCTTTATCATCAGTTCACATATATGATTTTCATACATTCACAGTCACTTACAATGACTTTCTGACATCCCTCTCGAAAGGAAACGAAACAAGCAGAAAATCTGCTACCAATGCAATATAGTTTTTACTTACCATCCATATCAGTCAGAATGTACAGACAGTCACTCATTTTTCCATCGCCCTTTTTCGTGAAAGCCAAAACTTGCACACAATAATTAGTGAACTTCATCAAACCATTTATTTCAAAAGCAGAGAAGTTGAAAGGTACGGTAAAGTTATGCTTTGCTTGAGGCTCAGCTGCGGCAGCAAACAGAACTCTGTAACCTGAGGGACTGGTTTCCAGCTTACTGCGATTGAGGTAGAAGATGAAACCAGTTTTAATCAACATGAGTACATATTACGTATTTAGAATCATAAATTATCATTTATTGTCTTCACCACTCC